AATTAATTTTATGGAAAATGTGAAGTGGAGTTATTGAGAAAGTAGGGATATAATTGATAAATGATAACATTAAACTATAAAAACGACACTTAAATAGAAAAAAAAATTCTTCTAAAACGACACTTAAAAAGGAACGAGGGAGTATCATTTAACGTGTCTCATAACAAACAAATTTTCTAGATTTTTATTAATATTTATTTAATTTAAAAAATGAATAAAATTATAATAATATAAACTTTCCTTTTATAGCAACATTTAGAAATAGTAGAGAGGCTGAGAGTTTGTAAAGTGTCAAATTTGTCCAAATACTCATCTTACTTTATTATATTGTATAGATTCTTTTGGATCTTAAATAGGTGAAAGAAGAACATCAAATATGACACACCTCTCTCATTTTCGCATAAGTATTGGAAGGCTATGAATGAGAAATTATTAGTTGGTATAAAACATCCACTTAAAATTCATTGAAGGGGAAGAGGAAACCTATAAAAGGAAAACATTTGTCGAGATATACCACACATATGTCACACTTGTTGTAAACCCTCTTGTTGCCTTTGGGAGGAAGAACTCCCCGATATGAAGAAGGCCCCACTTTAGTAAAAGTGTGGTCTATGCCACCTTTACCCACAAAAGCATAAATAATTTCAATGTCTCTTAATATATCCATACTGAAAAATTGTATCTCATCGCTCTCGGGAATACGAATTGAGAGTTGTCCATATCAAAAGAAGATGTCAAACACAATGAATATATGATAGTAAGAAAAGCACATGATTAAATCAAATTCAAACATTGCATCCCACCACATTCATCTAAAGCAAAATAATTCACCAATGCACAAAATAGAAAGGGTTGAAAACCCATAACTCTCTATAAAACCTTATAAAAGTAAGCAAGTGTGGAAAGAAGAAAAATTTTAGACTCAGGCGTTACCTTGAAAAGATGAACTCAAAGACCCACATGCAATATATGTTTTGCAAAAGTGGTGATGCAAACACTTGTTAGTGGCCAAGGGAATATTGGTGAATATTTAGGAGGTTGTAGGCGTGAGAGAAAAGCTTTCAAATGTTCATGATTGGCGAAAAGAGAAATATGGTAACCCTAGAACTCTTTATATATCCCTAAAGGAAGATGAATCATGCAATTCTTGGTGTTGAGAAGCGTGAACTGCACCACTAATAATCATGATTTCATTGCAAGTTGTTCAAGAGCATTCAAATATCCTAGTACTAGAAGGAATAATTATTGTTAGGCGTAGGGATATGTGTCAGGCTATACCTGGAAATATTGTTAATCACGAGGGATACATTTAATGAAACTCTTCTCAAACACATAAGCATCCTATCAAGACTATTCAATTTTCTTCCACCATAGACCAAACGTAAGACAATCCATACAAAGCCCCTATTATATAAAGTATGGACAAGGGCTTGATGCCAACTATTTTGGGTCGTCCCCAATGGCTCACCCCCTTTTGGTAGCTTTCCTCTCTAGAGGCAAAGGTGAGCCTCCATTACGTAGACCTCGAATTAGGTTCACATCTGGGGGAAAAGAAAGGAAGTCGAACCTTAGCCGAGAACGATATCCAAAGACGTCAAACAAAACTTTGAGTTTGGCCTAAAAGAACTAGATATCTCCTATAAAACCAAACTCAATACTTAAAGAATATCCCTAAAACATGTAAGTTTACTTACTCGTTGAAGTTTACTTACTCGTTGAAGATACACTGAGTAGAACCATGAAGAATATCCCAAGAACCATGAAGTTTACTTACTCGTTGAAGATACACTGAGTACAAGTACACCAAATATATAAAAAAAATAGGGGAGAAGGACTATGTATCAGACTTGTCCGTAACCAAAACTGGCACCTCATTCGCCATTTCCTGATCAGGCCGAACCAACTTTAGTGAAACATGCATTATAGAATAAAAATGCACATGCATGTTACAATGTGTTCTCAACAGATACATGCACGACCAAATAATTGTCCTATACTATCTTTGCATACTACTCAGCTAAAGAAATATTTTTGATATGAATATCTCGAAGGTCATTCTCGGTCTTCTTCCAACCTTCTTGGGCCTATCTCAAAGATTCCTCTAACTCCTCGATTATCTTACACGAAGAATATAATGCTTTATTTTCCTCAACAAGTGCAGCCTCAAACTTGGTTAGTGATGTTAGGGTGAAAGCTAGAGTTTCAATTTTACCCATCACCGTCTGTACAAGTGATCACACATTATTAGCTAGCGTGTCGGGGTACGCGAAAGGTTCTACAATGGCCTCTCTTCCTGAAAGTAGGCTAAACGCCTCTTGGATATCTTATAAGTACAAGTTTTGATTAATTGTAAGAGCATAGACACACTCTTTAAGCACTTCTTGTTCTCTTCAAAAGCCGTTGAGTAAGAAGACATCTCCTTTTCCGACAGTGCTAAAGGCCAAGGCAAGTGACACCTGACGAGTATAATACGCATAAATTTCCAATTCCTTTTGACAATCAACTTCATATTTGCCCAAAAGGTATGTGTAGTCTTCTTCAAAAATAGAAGATAGACCTCCCTTACACAACTTGGACCGGGCATGCAAGATACAAGGGAGACATAGCCGTCGGAGCCGGTGTAGTCCCTCCCATAGAGCCAAATCCCATCAAGTATTGCTCAAGCTCTGATGTTGGTGGATAAACAACCTTTCCTACTGAGGCATCTCAAATTTGGGACAAACAACCAGACTTCCTCTGTCCATGATCGGTGACGAGCACAAATTTTTTTCCACCATGATCCCTTTGGGGCACTCGCGGACCTCTACCCACATTGGGGTAGGTGAGAAAATAGTAATCATCCCAACAGAGGACCACCAAGTATGTAACCTCTAGTAGCTAGAGCATTGGTAATATCCACCATAGAATATACGATATGAGGAGCCTATTTCTTATGTTGCATTGTTTTGTAATATTTCATTTTGTCTGCAAGCTAATAATAAACAGGTTAAAAAGAAGAACACCAAATTTATTCAAGAAAGAAAGGGGATTTCTCATGTTTCTTACCAAACTTGATTTTCCTAGACTCTTTCAAGCCACCTGCAAACGTGTCTCTATGTACCATTTCCATTATCCCTTCACTACCGCGTCGGAAGGGACAATGCCATTAACATAACCCAAACCCTCAAAGAAAGATACAAATTATCTTTTCAAGTGAATCTCCTTTTGAGAGAGGTGTCCATTTTGTAAACATATGATCCAAAATCCTCCAAGAAATGACACTGAAGCCAAAACTTGGAGAAACTATATGGACTTTAGAAGGGCGACCCATGCTTTATTGCATATATCTTGGCATTGGCTACCTTGTTGGGGGGAGTAACCAAGAAGTGTTGGTGTTTGAAGTGTTTCAAGTTGGTTGAATATAGTTGAAACATATTGATATATTGCCTAAGAGATATCAAGCCTCGACCTTGAGCCGAATTAATGGAGTTGTATTAAGCCTTAAAGAGGTGTAAGAAGAGTTGCGGAGTAAGCACACTTTGCTTGTATTCACACTAATATTGGATGACCTTGATGTAGGTTCACCTTACTGGATCTAATTGAGAAGGGGAGATTAATAAATGATTAAGCCCGCCGACCTCGAGATCATTGAAGGGGAGGAAAACCTATCAAAGAAAATACACATTCATGGATTGGAACAACGCACCCGTCAAATTTACTACATATCCTCTTGTCTTCCTCAAAGAGAATCACAATCGTTAGAGGGTCCCACTATCGTGAAGACACAATCCAAACTGCCTTCAATAACGAAGGCAAAGGCACTATATAATTTTTCTTGAAGACTCACGCGCTGAAAGAAGGGGCGCAAACTAGTCAGAGATGCAGACATTTGCATGGAAGTTGGAAACAAAAGGAAAAACTGCAAATGAAGAAGAATATATATTTCTCAAACCCACAAGCAAAGAAAAGAGAAGATCAATAGTCCAGTAATTTCTTATATGCATTTCTATTGTAGTCAACTGTGTCATCTACCACATTATGAAGTGCTAACTACACCACAAATGGGAGCATCATTACCGTCAAACATAGGAAAACAAGTCAGAATCTCCATGTAAAACGTCGATAATCAAGAGAAGGGCATTTAATACACATGTTTCTAATGTTAATCACGTCCGATCAAGATTTTGTACTTACTTATGTTAAACAATCAACCTAAATATATACCTTGCAAGCCTCATTCTACAATATATAACAAGAGTTTATGAGGCAATTGTTCTGTGTCGTTCGCAAGACCCGTTGAAAAGAGTCCAAGATCAAATCTCAAATAAAAAAACATAGAAAATACGTAGACCTTTGTTATAACCAAAAATATACAATTTCACACTTTAGCGTATCAATCACCGTTTTTATTCACCTTTATTATAAAAATAATTGAATATTATCCTTAAAAATCTAAATCTTTTATCTCGCCATCTTTTTTAATAGAAAAATAAATAAATTAAAGAAAGAACATATTATTATGATATTTCATATTTTTTATGAATTTTATTAGAGTTTAATGGAGATGTAGTGACAATGTAAAATAATTTTATATTAACATCTAATAAAAAATTATCAATATGTCATGTTATTAAATTTTTTATAAATAAAAAAGTGATTTAATTATTAATAATATAAAAAATATTTTATACTTTTAATACATCATTCATTTTCTCATATTATTGATATGACATAATATTAAATTAGCATAATAATAAATTCGCATTAATTTTATATTAGCACAAATCAATTATATCATATCACCATAATAAGTCAAAATTAGCCTAAGTATTAATTTGTGTTTAATACACTGTCAAAAAAATCTTTGAATAAAAATATAAAAATGTCAATGATTCTTGGGCATGAAAAAAAATAGTTGAGGATAAGATTCTTTAGTCACGTTGTTTGTTCCTTGATTTCTGCGTGAAACTGTAGCTATATAGCTACCACTATCAAATTCCTATCATTCAACTAACTCAACAATGGGCGAAGCTATTCCTCCCGCCGCCACCACCGCCGCCACTACCACCACCACCACACCACCACCGCAACAAATAACCGCTCCCATAAAACACACCAAAAAACTAACCCTAGTCCCTCTAATATTCCTCATCTACTTCGAAGTAGCCGGCGGCCCATACGGCGAAGAACCCGCCGTCCAAGCCGCCGGCCCACTCTTCGCCCTCCTCGGCTTCCTTATCTTCCCTTTCATCTGGAGCATTCCAGAGGCTCTAATAACCGCCGAATTAACCACGGCTTATCCAGGAAACGGCGGTTTCGTAGTATGGGCCGAAAAAGCTTTCGGGCCATTAGCAGGGTCCCTAATGGGAACCTGGAAGTTTCTCAGCGGTGTCATCAACATAGCAGCTTTTCCTATCCTCTGCATCGATTACATGGAAAAACTGTTCCCAGTTTTCGGATCCGGTTGGCCTCGAAACATCGCAATTCTCTTATCAACTCTTTCACTTTCGTTTGTGAATTACATTGGTTTAACAATTGTTGGTTATGTTGCTGTTTGTTTAGGAGTTGTTTCATTAGCACCTTTTATCTTAATGTCAGTAATCGCTATTCCTCAGCTTAAGCCTCATAAATGGATCAGTTTGGGCCAAAAGGGTGTTAAGAAAGATTGGAATCTTTTCTTCAACACACTTTTTTGGAACTTGAATTTCTGGGATAATGTTAGTACTTTAGCAGGTGAAGTTGAAGAGCCCAAGAAGACGTTTCCTCGGGCTCTTCTTATTTCTGTTGTTTTCACTTGTGTTTCGTATTTGATTCCGCTTTTTGCTGTAACCGGAGCGGTTACCGTGGATCAAAGTCAATGGGAGAACGGGTTTCATGCTCAAGCTGCTGAGATAATTGCTGGAAAATGGTTGAAAATCTGGATTGAAATTGGCGCTGTTTTATCCGCGATCGGGCTATTCGAAGCTCAGTTAAGTAGTAGTGCTTATCAGGTTTCTGGTATGGCAGAAATTGGGATATTACCTAAGTTTTGCGGAGTTAGGTCCAAATGGTTCAACACTCCTTGGTTGGGAATATTGGTGTCAACTATGATAACAATTGCGGTTTCATATATGAATTTCACTGATATTGTATCATCTGCTAATTTTTTGTATAGTTTGGGTATGATATTGGAGTTTGCTTCCTTTCTTTGGTTGAGATGGAAGAAGCCGTTGATAGATCGACCTTATAAGGTTCCAATCAATATGCCAATGTTGGTGCTCATGTGTTTGGTGCCTTCTTGTTTTCTTGTTTTCATTATGGTTATTGCTACTAAGATTGTGTTTTTGGTTAGTGGTTTGATGACTCTAGGTGGGATTGTTTTTTTCTTGTTTGTAAGATTGTGTAAGAGGAAGAATTGGGTTAAGTTTGAGAGTAAAAAGGAGGATGATGAAGATAGGTATGATGGAGTGGCTAACTTATGATATAGTTAGATTTTTAATATATTTTTTTTAGTTGTAATTGTGTTATATTATCTTTGCATAGAAATAAAATGGAAATATTTTGGAGTGATTGTGAAAGGTTATACTAGTTTTTACTTACTTGGCAGCTAGCTACAAAGTGTAGAGTTTCTATTTTTGTTAATTTCTGTTGACATTTTTGTTCTGATGTCATGATCAAATAATTTTTTTAGCAATTTCTGTTTTCCAATGTCTAATTTGTCTTTATTGTTGTTTTCCAAATTTTAGTTTGTCATTATTTACTTTGTTTTTGTTTGGAAAAAATTGTGGAGTATATTAGGGGATTACTCTAAACTCTAGTTTATGGTCAGCGTATATGGTTTCCCGGTGGATTTTTCAAAATCACGGTGAAATTCACGTTAGGTCAAAAGCTACTCTTCCTAGCTTCTCCAAATCGCAATGGAACATCGTTAGACCAAAATATCTAACCAATGGATGGGATATTCATTCTGCAAACGCTCCGATTCGTTCTACAACATTTGTTTAGAAATATCTAAACATGATCTAAGTGTATGTTGGAAAAACCTCAAAATCAAATAGTGGTGGCCACCGTATAACCACCAAACATAGAGAAATTGTTGGACACACTGATTGTAGAGGCAAAAGACAAGTTGCAAGAAATAATTGTCCAGCCATATGTTTGAATGCCTTAAATACATTGGTATAGTTTTCTTATGGAAAAACTATGTCGTAGCTTAAGGTGCACAAAAATTTAAAAGCGTTAATGATTTCACATTTTGAGTGCATGACTTTTGGGGTCAGAGGAGTGCATAATTTTCAACCATGTCTCTATTCAATTAGGCCAAATACTGAAATTTTTACAACTATATACCCCTTAAAATAATTAAATACACAATTTCGTGTTCTTTTCAATATTGAATTAGTGGGTTCAACAAGGTTGCTTGTGATGTAACTCCAACCTCTCCCTTCATCATAGGTTTGAGTCCATTTAAATTTGTCTTGATTTTTGTTTTCCAATGTTTAATTTGTCTATTTTTGTTTTCCAATGTTTTAAGTTGTCATTGTTTACTTTGTTTGTGTTCTAATGTCATTATCAAGTCAATTTGAGCTCTTCTCTTCATGATTTTAAATTTTATCTTTCTTATATAATATGCAAGTTAAAACCTACAAATGAATTCTTATTAAATTCTATCAATTTTCCGATTACTATGATTAAGTGCTAGAGTAATATAAACTAAATAGTGTCCTATCAAATAAATGAATAAGTGCCGTCTCCTTTTTGATAGTATAATCTTGATTATATTATATTATCAATAGTTCTATATATTTAATAGAAAAGAAAGAAAAAAAGCATTTTCATGTTTTTGCTTCTTTCCCTCACTTTTCATCTTCAAATCGGAGCGTTGAACCCACACAATTTCTATAATATTATAAACAACATAAATTTATGTTTCTATGGATGAAATCTTTATGGGAAAAAATTAACTGGAGTAGATTAGGAGATTACTCAAAACTCTATATTTTAGGCTTTATCAGCAAATATGGTATGGAAGAAATGACATTTATATATTATTGTCTAGCCATGTTTTTCGATGCGTTAAATGTATGGATTCCCTTTTCTTCTTACGGAAAAGTTATGTTATAGATAATCAAGTAATTGCCCTCAAATGGTTAATGAGTTTTCCCTAAGAAACGAAATGTTTGGAAAAATTCGAGTTCGATTTATGATGGGAACAATGTTTGGTTAAGTTATACTTACCTCTCGGCCGAACTATGAATTACTAGGGGTCCATTCCCCTAAAAACTACTTATGGTGCACGAAATTTTGAAAGTTTGATATTGTTAGTGAGGTCACATTGATTGCATGACTTTTGATGTAAGAGGAGAGCACAATTTTCAACTCTATTTCTATTTGTTTTCTATTTCTATCAGAATCAGGGAAAGTAAAATTGATCCAAAAACATTCAAGCCAATGGATTTGGATTAGGACTAGTTCAGACCGATCTTGGCTCCACAAAGGTATAATGATAAATGATAAAGGTGATGTCACCACAAAGACATCATAGGTATATCATCGTTTGGAACAATCAAAGACTTAAAGGACATGAGTAAACTTGCCCTAAGAAAGCATCATATTTGAGCGTAAAGTACAATGTAGACTGTTGGATCGCAAAACAAATCATGTCTCAACATCAATCTACATGAATGACCTAGATAGATATAAATGAAAGAGAATTAAAAAAACCATAATGAAATGGTATATTGGTTGCCTTATTCAGGTGTATATCTTAGACATCACACCATGCACTCCCATTTACACACTTTTGAGAAAAGAGGGCAACCTCCAAATGGACACCTGGATGTGAAGCTACATTTACAAAACTTAAAGTAGTGCTATTATAACGTTGTCTTATTCTCAACAAAGGAAGACAATCCCTTATTTGTATACTTCTTTGTGTCTCAAGAATCCGTAGGGGCGGTTTTGGTAAGGGAAAACGACTTATCTCAGGATACAAACTATTTCATCTTAAAAGTGTTACAAGGAACAAAAGTATGATACCCGAAGATGGTGAAGATCACTCTAACACTTGTGGTAACAACCAAGAATTTGTTCAATAAGATGGATTGAAGTACTTTCCTTGTTGGAGGCGAAATAGTCATATCATTAAGTTGCTCAATTAGTGAGTGATTGCGACTTTGAGAGTTTGTCGGGCGTAGTGACTGCAAGTGCACAGTCTAATCGCGTAATTTTAAAAGATATTGAATTCATAAGGACAGATGGTCAAACTATTGTTATCTAGGGTCACTGTGTAAAGCTAAGGCTAATTATCAAATTAGGATGTTGGGGTTTAAACGGGAATTAACTAAAATCTAATAATTGATAACGGGACAATGATATGTAATTTGTCAACTTCAGGGATTCAATTAGTCATTGGCATAATTTTAAGTATTAAAGCACTGTCTCAATGGAAACTATTAATTTAAAAATCTTTGTCTCACACTTTCGTTCTATTGATTCAGGTCATATTATTAAACTCAAATGAGCGATCTCGTTGTGTCATTTAAGATTTAAAAGTATTTTTTAAAAATAAATAGAGTCCAATTAATTTTAAAGCGCTCTCGTTGTTTTTAAAATTAATGTTCAATCACCACTATCTGGTTAAAATCTCAAACTCTCGTTCTGTTGATTTTATCCTTAGTCTGTCTTTTACTCTTGTAACAAAACAATTTAATGTCCAAATTGGAAATCAAAACCAGAAAAGTGTTTTCGTAAAATATTTATGCCAATTAATTAATGAATCCCTTCGGTTAGAACTTCACATATCGGTATCGGGAAAATTAGTCAAACATAATTTTATTGTGTGATAACATAAAATAAAAATATACATTCAATAACATAGACATGGTAAAAATAAATAAACTATATTTAAAATTGGAACCTGAAATAAAACACGGACGTGTAATAGTGCAGTATGCTATCCTCCACAAGCCGTCAGGATTAGCTTCTGAACAAAATATCTTGAAAAAGTACAAATAAACCTAAACGAAATTCTTGAAGCTAGAAAGAAAATAAAGTTACAATATTCCTCCAATGTGAAGAAATATTGCTTTAATGGTAATGATTTTCTTTGCTTACGGAAATTCTAAACGAAACTGGAAAAATATCAAAAACTGTAAAACTGGAATAAAATAGCAATGTTGCAGTATGCAGAAAAAAATAAGAAATTTGGAGCACGTGTGCGAACGTCTCGGATTTGGTAACTGTCCGACTTTTATAGATTCCATCAGCTGAGCAAAAATAGGAATACTCCATTGATCCTCGTTCTTCAATCATGGAGAATTTTCAATAAATTGTGCGCTTCATGGAGACATTTTCGTAATTGAAGATATGACTTATAACGAGTGTCATGCGTTGTAGCGTGGGGTACGTATTTTCATTCTGTGTCGGTCGAGACAAGAAGTGTGCCGAGGGGCACACTTTTGCACTTTGTAATGGGCGGCATGGCTTCTGATACATAATGTTTGTATTTTTGCTGCTAAAGTACCATTTCTTCTTCATTTCTCCAATATTCTTCTTCCTTTTCTTATGTAAGCTTTGCAGTAACTAAATACTTGAAATTTGTTGCAAATACTACAAATAGAGACATAATGTGACATAATAAACGAAGAATCAGAAGCTTTATTATCTATGTAAATCGGGCGAAATATGCTATAATTTTTCGTGTTATCAAACTCTCCTAAACTTGAACCTTTGCTTGTCCTCAAGCAATATAGTTAGTATAAAAATCAATAGAGCACAAGTTAAATGAAAATACATGATGCAATTCGAATCGTAAGAGGTTGTGCTAATGTTTTTGCAGGAACCTAAGCTCAACATAACATAAAAGATACAATAATAACACTAAACACCCCCCATTGTGCACACCAATTCAAGTCATGTCTATATAGCTCAACCTAATTGGTTTCGCTAAATTTCACTTGTTTTCATTCTAGTGCAATCACATTAAGCCCTTTATCTTTACACGCACATAATAGAGTAGCCAGCTAGTGAATATGATCCTTTTAAGCATGAGGTTCTGGAACATATATGTGGTAACCTCCTTTTAATTTATCCAATTACAAGTTGCAGGAGGTTAGACCGTAGTTCGCCTACCAAGTTCAGTATCAGACACCTCTGAACCAACGATATGACTCGTCCTCCTTATACAAAACTTTGAGACAATTATCACTCTCACTCACCTTCATAGACTTGTCTTTAAAAATTTTCAAATTAAAAGTATACACATGAAACAGACCTTGACTGGGTGTACCTAACAAGGACATCCAACCCCCACTTACGAACCCAATAACTTTGTAAAAAAAAGAAGAAAAAAAAGCCCAACGTGGGAGTGATGCTGTGATCGGTGGATCTGGAACTGACTGTTTAACGCTGGTACGCGAAATGTCGCGGAAGCAAGAGTCGCCACCGTCTTTTATTTTCTCCAAATGGAAAGGACAAAAGCACATAAAAATTCCTTATAGAGATTGCTCTCGGTTCGGGAGGTAGATTATAGAAAGGGAAGGTGTTAACACCCTTTCTATCCATGGTTATCCATGGGCTCTTAGATACTTGCTCATTTGTGTTTTCAAAAGATTTGTTTGCCTTTCAACTGTGGGTTTTAAAAAAAGTTTCCTTGAAAAATTCCAGTTCGACTATTGTATCGGTCCTCAAGAGTGTTTGAAAAGTTGCTTTCGAAAGCTTTTTGAAAATGTGTTGGTGTGAAAAGTATTTTTGAATTTTTGTTTTGAAATTAGAGCAAGTATCTAGAGTCGTCTACCTACCCTAAGGAATTCGTCTGTGTAAATGTCCTTCAAAGTAGTGTCATCCCACCATTGAGAGGTAGGTAGCACCACCGTTAGATGTGTTCGGGTCAATTCGAAGGTTCGGGACATGGTGATCACCGGAGCAATGGGAAGACACCTTAGAAGCTACCCTCATGCCAGGTTCCTGGATCATGAGGACTTACTAAGACATCCTCTACTCGACGATCACCTTTCGAGAGGCAAGGCAACAGTGAGGCGTACCCTAGGGGTGGTGTGTGAATTTGTGTGTTATTTCAGTTATATTTTATCTTGTACATGCATCACGGTGATCTACGCTTGTTTTTAATTTAAGCCATACATTCTTTCATGCAATTATAATTTAAAAGTGCGAAAATTTAAATGCGGAAAGATAAATCCTACGCTATTACAAGGCGCGGGTCTATACATCGCCAAATTACAAAGACCCGTTTTTAATAAAATGCGGAAAGTAAAACCTAGTTACTATTACATGGCTTGAACAGTTACATAATATTTACAAGAAAAATAAGAATAAATGCGCGAAAAGAATAGAAAATAGAACGTTCGAGGGCGTTGGACCTTTTTGGAATTAAATTGAATGAAAAGTTAATTAATTATAAAATTAAAGAAAAGAAATGTTTTTTTGATGGTTTTTGTATTTATGAAATAAAGAAAATTAAAACTCAAGAGAAACCCTAATTCTAAGTTGTTTTTAATTATTAAAGAATAATATTAAAGTTTAACCTAATTTACTAAATATTTAATGTACATGTTTATTTACAAAATAAATTAGCAATTAATAATAATGATAATAAGAAAAAATTACTTATTAAGAAAAGTGATAAAAAGTTAAAAAAAAACCTAATTTCTACATATTTTAATTTATTGAGAAAAAGATTAAAGTTTTAAAACCTAATTTACTAAACTAATTATTAAAGTTTATTTACAAAATAAATTAATAGTGAAATAATAATAATTAAATATATTTTAGTTTCTGATTTTTTATCTTATGAAAATTAATTTATGAAATTAAAGAAAACAATTGAAAACAATTAAAAGAATAAAAAGGAAAATCAAATAAAAAAATAAAAATGTGCAAACCATGGGGGGTATTCAGACCCAAATGGAGGTTTTTTGTGAGAAATCTGGCCCATTAGACAAAAAGCCTTGTTTGACTTTCTGGCATCACGTGCGTGTTCATTGACTCCTGAGTACCGTGGTCTGCATTCTTTGGCCATTGGATTGAGTTTCATGGCCATTTGTGTTATGGCTGTTGGTCATTTGTGTTCTGGCCTCAACGTTCCTTGATCTTCTAGGATGTCTGTCTCGCAATGTATTGGTGTCATGCATAAGTTTTTCTACTTTGACCATTTGGCTTTTGGCCATTTGGCTTTTGGCCTCAACGTTCCTTAATGAACATGCATGGGATCCTGTCTAAATCTGCAGTGTTGAATCTCATGAACACATTAAATAAAATCATAAAATGAAAATAAAGCCAATATATGAAGAAATTTAATGTTTATGCACAATATGACATGTATGAATGATTATACCCTTTTGATCATGGAGATCAAATCAATCTTACCCTTACTGGAAAATTAGTGACCTGAATGCTTTTATGCCTTACTGGAAAATTAGGATCATGGAGATCAAGTCATCCTTATCCTTACTGAAGAAATAGTAAGGTATTGGTTTGTAACTGTGATGGCATGTTTGTAGTGAGAGAGGAATTTGTAATAAGAATTTCAAGGTTTTAGGGTTCTTGAAAGAGTTTGATATTCTAACAGTGTTGTGGCAAGGTTTTTTTTCTCTCTTCTTTTCTCCTCTCTTTTTTTTCTCTGGTTTGTGTGAAAAGAACGTGATTATATAATGGAAATTAGGGTAAAGAAAATGGGCTTTGAATGTGCAATTGGGCCTCCAATATTCACTTGAATTCGTCACTTTCCAGGCTAAATCGCAGGGACTTAAGTGCATTTTTTGAAGTTGAAATGTGAAAACAAAATGTAGCCGACATCGATAGCTAACTCTTGTCCGAAAATCAGCTTAATCGGATAAACGGTAAATTAGTTATGAATTTTTGAAGTTTCAGTTCAGATAAACTTATTTTGGGCTCCAGTGTCGACTCTGACACGTTCTTCAATAAAAAACTGGTATTGATCGAAGCATAATCGTGTCTCGACTTTTGAAGCAAAATTGTAGATCTACAAGTCAGGGACCTTGTGTAAAAATATGAGCCCAATCCGATAAAAATTGACCGAGTTATGAATTTTCGAAGTTTCGGCCCAGATGAAATAATATTCAGCATTCAGGATTTTCGGCGTGTCACGCACTCTGAACAAAAAAATGAAGGCCTTTTGAATACCTTTTGAACTCAATACCTTCTGTGAAAATGTAGCCAACTCAATTTGTGAAATTTTGGCGCCGGAACCAACTCGATACGATGAAAATCGACCAAGTTATGATTTTTTGAACATGACGCAAATAAACTTCTGTCACAAATTTTCTGCACGAAAATACTTGATAAATCCACATTTTTGAAGACCTTCTGTTCGAAATTGGCTTCCAACCGTGAGAGATGAAAACGTAGATAATGTCAAGACGGAATTTTGGCCACCGTAACAGGTTCAAAACGAGACACGGTCTTCAAGTTATGAATTTTTCAGCGCGTAAAAACTGCACTTTCAGCACACTTTTTTAACCATATTTCTTCGAGAAAACTCACACATTCGAATACCTTCTTTAAATAAATTGACTCTTGAGTCGAACCTGAATTTAATAATATGTTATCAGAGATATCTTGGCGAAAGAACACCTGAATATGATGCGTCGGGTTGGACTTGTGAATTTTTCTTGAAATATTTTGAGAAATATAGGAGGGCAATTTTTGGGGTACAACAGATGCCAAGGGCACCAGATACTATCTCAAACGCCATTACAAAGTCCTAACTATTAGGTTGGAGCTTGGAAGAAGTGACATTTAGGGCGGTTAATCACTCTCTTCACTAGTGTTAGAAATTAATAGGCCTTCCCTAAATGATTTGAAGTATTTCACACCCAAGTACACAAAATCAAACTTCTAGACCTCCAGACTAAAGGATGCACCAGAAAACTCCACGGTGACCTCATTCGAACCCAAGGAAGACAGAGCGTCGGTGTCACTAAAGAATGACCTCATTAGACCTACTTATGTTACAAAAGTGAAGGAATAAATTACCTAATAAAATACGAAGAGAATGGATTTTGTGGGAAGCAAGAGTATATAGCACATACCAATTGATAATTCATCCGATTATACATCGTCTAAAATTCTAATTGTCATTGGATAATTTGTTCAATTTTTAATCCACTACCCAATCGAATGTGTTCAAAATTGTGATTGTAAAAAAATGTTATAATTTGATAAAATTTAATTTTTAAAGTAAATATATAAGATAAATAATTTATTATTATAATAACTTTTTTTTTATTAATAAATTTTTGTTTTCCTTAAAGAATTTGTATATTCAAGTATTATAATTTATTATTTTTAGCATTATTCATAGTATAAATGCTAACATTTTGAACACATTTGATTCGGTAGTGGATTAAAAATCGAATTAATTATTCAATGATAACTAGAATTTCAAACGATGTTGGTTGTGCCATATAATCAGACGAATTATTCAATAAAAGCCTTTTCAAATACATTTCAAAACATTCACAAATAAGCAGCCTATTATATATAATATTTCTATATGTATAAATTTGAACTCAAATTAAATTCTATTCAAATCTCTATCATTCCTAAATAAAATTGAAAATCAAATCAAATCTCAACCAAAAACCACACAAAATCACAATCTCATTTAAATCAAACAAAATCAAATCTCAATCAAAAGCCATACAAAGTCATTCCCTTTTGCAAAACCAGAACTTTGATATATCGGATGATTTACTGAATTAAACGGCATAAAATGCGAGCCTCAATATCATTTGGAAATTTATCATTTGTAGGCATTTAACTATTTTAGATGTGGTTCCTTTTAATTGAGACTAATTGTTTTCTTAAACTTATATAAGATTGTTAGTATCAAACACCCAGCTTAAAAGTAGTATATTATTTCTTCGTTCAACAATAAATTTACCAAATTGCTGAACTCTTCATTTAGCTTCTCCTTTACTGCTTCCTCGTCCTTCACTATTTGCACGGCTGATTCCCACACCTGCAGAACAAGCACTCAAGATATCAATTATATTTGAAAAGTTAGTTGGCAATACTCATTGATATTTTATTGGCCAACTATCTCACACTCGTAATGAAAACATAAGAATGAAAAAAAACAAACAATTCAGAGTCAAATGTAATTACCAGCATAAATTAAGCAGACGCCCAACATCAAACATTACCATTTCATCCCAGTGTGTCTATACACAGTTTTCCACAGTAACCACAGCCAATACATAGCATCAAAAGGATGAAAGTAAATGGCATAGTTTGTGATGACAATGTTGATGCCCGCTGGAAGAGGAAATATGCAACTATAATAATCATTAGGAAACCAAACACCATTCGGCTTACAAATCCAACTCTGACAAATAAAAACATGCACACTTGAATTGAACCAGGCTACTCACTTTGGAGTAAACTAGGAGTAAGATTCCTATAGTAG